TATCAATTAAACTAAAAAGTTTTCTATCCAATTAATACTTTATTTTAATAAAAGTAGGACTTAAAATGCGAATTCACTTTAAATATTCATAGTAGGGATTTGGGGCACTGTGGGGATTTTATTTTTGGCTTTTCACATGGTGTCCATCATGAAAACAAACTACCCAATTTACTTTTAGTTCATTTCTTCCTGGTTTCATCTTCCAGTTCACATGGTCTAGTATAACATAACTATACCTGGATCAAACACAGCTTCCTAAAAGAATTGTTTCCAATGAATTTGGGGAAAAAAAAAAAATTCAAATTACTTTAAACTTTGTACCATACTGCTTTTACCTTCAGTATCTTTTGAATCCTAACACTAATCTTTCAATCGTACTACAAACATATTTTTCCAAGTGTTTGTTCCATAGAATAAAATATAGATTAGTCACCTGCATACTTGTCCTACTAATAGCTACCCGAATTTCTAGTATTTTCAAAGTCTTACACAGCTGGTGGAGTTAGCCAAAACACTTCTCTTTCCAAGGGCATTCCAGTAGCTAGTGTTAATTGTCAGTGGTATGGCAAGCTAAATACAGCTTTCAGCGGGGATTGCAGGAGTATAACTTCAAGGATTTTAGTCCACCATGGCTATGCTAGACTTTGGAGCCTGAAGCCCTGGTCAACCTAGATCTCCTGGAGCATCCTACAGCTTTTTCCTAGCCTGCCTGTCCAGCTCTTCTGAACAGAAACGGGGGAAGACATGCGAGGGTCTCGTCTTGCCAAGCAGCTGGGAAGTCATCCAGACACAGGAGCTGGGAAGCAGTGTGAGAACATTAGTAGAGACGTGACCTGTGTTAAACATAAATTATCCAACCAGCTTCTTCTGCCCTTGCTAATATAAGCAACAGGTTATATGAACTCAAAATCCCATCAAAAAGTGTATATAAAAAGCGCTTGTGTCAACTGGGAGTCAAGGTCTTCAATTATTTAAAACAGATGTTTATAATTCTACCAAGTAAATATATGAATTTTGTGTTGACTGCTCGGAAGGTGTAGGTCTTTAACCACTGCAGCTAAATTCCTTACAGGTTGTCCAGGAATACTCTCAGGTCTGTAATTGCCAGCATTTTGTTAGTTTGCCAAAGTGTTAACAGTGTTAATATTTCATTTTTTACAGTTGATGAGGGGATGATGTTTTAAGTTTAATTCTACAGGCTGAAAAAAACCCTTTCAAAAACATTTTTTTCAGTTAAAATATTGAGGGCAATCACTATTAAGCCTACAGAAGTTGCTATGAATTTTGGTATTAGCGCCAACTGGCTACAGGAATAGTCTCCTAGGAGTCTCCAGATGGCTTCCAAATGGAATATAATTTCTGAGAAACAGACTGGGCTTCTGTATGGCAGAAACGAGCATTTCAAGTACATAAGCTAACCATTAACAGAGCTATTAAACCTAATGCAACAGTAGTAGAAAAGAACTAGAAAATTTTTTTCTTTTTGTAAAAAAGATCAATTTCCACACTATATTCTATATATAAATACAGGAATTTATACAACCAGTAAGGATCTTCTATTGATAATTACCAAATAATGCTTTATTAATCCTGCTGACCCTACCATTCATCTCTGAAGAGGCAGCAGAGATGTTTTAAGTCCTGTCCAAACTCCTCAGCTTCCTCAAGTCATCAAAAACTCCTCCTTTTACGTAAGACAGCAATACAGTCATGTACAGTTCCTGCAAACATTAAATCTTCGCAGTTAGAATAAGCAGCATCAAACCTGGATGATATGAAAATCATACCACAAAACATACACTCTATGAAAACAGAATCAAAAAAATGGGTGAGCCCGTGGTATAAATGTAACACTCAGGACGCTGCAGTTGAGAGGTACTTATGTTATTGGGGTGAAAAAATAAATTTATAATTATGTACTTTTCTGTGGCTCTCACACGAGTGACAAGATGATTTCCTGGTTGTAAGCTAAATATATTGCTCCAGCTCGGTTATCCTCAACAATATACATCACTTGTGACTTCAGCTTTCACAAAGACTTTTTGCAATGCTAATTATTCGTTACCAGAGCTGTCAAACTTATATGCAAGAACATAATACTTAGAGGCACAGAGAGAACAATGGAGAACCAGTAGTAAACATTAGTAATGCAATCATTAATAGGAAGCATCGAGCAAAATGGAATCACTGCGGGGGTTTTTGTCTTACATGTCCATTGTGGAATTATCTATGTGTAATACGTAGTTTTACATCTATTTTTAAAGTAGGACTATGGAACATCCTCTCATATTTGCTTTATGTATTAGTTTTCCATTACATGTGAAAAAGGTCTCCTGCCAGTCTTCCCAAAAGGAAGACTAGATGCATTGAAAAACACTGATAATTTTACCCTTGAAATAAGATCTGTTCATTACGAAGGCATTATGAAATTTTCATTAAGTGAATTAGCATCGCTGAGTTCAATTAAAAACTCAAAACTGGCAGGTTATCTATTTCTCTACAAAAAGCATAGGAAAATATGAAATGGGCCATTATAAAAAAACCAGTTGTTCTTGTTCGCATTACAGTTATACAACATTGCAGTATGAATTTCTTTGGGCAGGAATGGAGAGAGAAAGATGATTTCTATTTATTATTTACAGGACCAAGCATGTTTACTCCAGTCCCAAAGTAAGAAATACTGGATTGAAATAGTCTGGGAGGGTTTTTGATCACACACTTTACATTTTACTGTTCTTCCAAGTTTAAAATATTTTTCTTTGAAAGAAAGAGATGTTCAAGAGAAAAAATAGTGGTTAAGGGGAAATACATAAAAATGTATCATAAGGAAAATTTGCAATTGCCATCATATAAAAAATTTCATTTTTGAACAAGTTTTTTCTTTAAAGTATTGTAAAAAAACCCCAACACCTGCAACCACGAGTTTGCCTGATTTCATTCAGTTTCTAAGAAGGAGGCATTAGGCATTATAAAGGCAACACTTGCATGACCCAAATCAGAGGTTGCTACAGCAATTGAATACAGTGAACTGGAAAAATCCTATTCAAAAATGACAAAACAGAAACATGCTCTTAGCAATCTGCTGCCATTTTAAAACATGCATTTCTCCTCTTCCTCTTCCTGAGGTGTAGGGCATTTCACCTATATGAATACCAGCCACTTCAAAAAAATGCCAATTGCTCTATATTCCTTTCAGATTTTAAGGTATGCTGACTGACCACGGAAATTAAGAGTATTCGACTAGGGGCAAAAAATTCATCCAGTAAACTTTGTATAGTGATTTTTTGTCTTGATGAATCTGGCATGTTGAATCGGGCGCCACAAGATCTATTGGGATAACTTGTTTTCTAAAAAACTAACTACTTTTAGGGGATGTGTTTACCTTATTTTCGTTGAAATATTGGGATGTATGCTTTGAAGCACTTTAAACATCAGGATTAAATTATAAAGAATTCAGTTCATTAAAAAGGTAGCTATGTATGTCCTTAGTTCTAGGAGCTGGGACTTTTACAGCAGTAAGGAAAAAAAAAACAATACTTGGAAATTACAATAATCATGAGATAGTAACACTGTGTTCAAAAGTCTTTCTGTAGAAAAGCCACATCACTAAACACAGTTACGACCCATGACCTCGGCAGAGAAACCCTGTAAAATATTTTGAGCCTCCTTGTCAGACGCATTTGGATTTGATAGCCAACACTAGTCTAAGGCAGAGAGTTGCATAAAATTTGCTCTCCTGGGCATCTAATAAATACAGCATAAATGATGCTTACAATTTTTTTCCTACTTGCACGTTTAAAAAAACTTCTGCTTAGGACAATCAAAGTTAAATTCTTTGGTGGTCATTTAAAAAAAATGAACTATACAAAGACAAGTGATCAGTTGTCCTATACTGAGGTAATTTGAGGAGTGCCATAGGAACGTTGCATTACAAACACCACTTGCCTATTTTCCCTTGCATAAAAGCAGCTCCCATTTTTTAATATACTCAGCGCAGACCTCTACAGCGACCTGAAGAGATCCTGTTCCATAGCCCATCTTAACACACTGCATACAGCAAGGCTGAAAGTTGTAAAGAGAGTGTATCCTACAATCAGGAAAGCAAAGAAAGTTCTTCCATGTATTATGTCCTTGAATCGACCAGGAAGATTAACGACGTAGTCTACTGTAACATCGATATATTAGAATGCTGCCACACATCAAAATATAGCATAGCTTACGGAGAACAAAGAGAAAAGGAAATGTAACTTGCGAAGATTTGACGGATGCCATCTGAACATTATTAAAGGGGTCAATGTCAAGTACATTAAAAAAAATATATAATCTTTCCATTGTTTGCATATGCTTTTCATATAACAGCATGAAAATCATGTCACTTGGTAAAGGGATTTTGGTTTGTTTTTTATGGAAAACCTAATGGAACACAGCCTTTTACTTTTGTTTGTTTACCAGAATAATCAATTATGTCCACAGAGCTCCCAGAGTGGTGCTTGTTGAACCTACAGCAGCAAGAGCACATAGTACTATAATTGGATATAAACAAAGCCTATTTTGCTCCTTTTGAATTTTTTTTGCAATAAAACAATGAGGGGAATAGATTTTACTTTCCAAGAGACGATTCCCCTCTACTTTCCAAGGGACGACTCTCATCATGCTCATGAGAAAGGGAGGGCAAAACCAGGATGCAGTACTTGACGTTGGCCCCTTTAAACGGGGAAAATAAGCTTTGGAAGAAACAAACGAAACCTTACTCTGCTGCCTACCAGGAAAACATAAATAGATATTAAGATACTCTTTAATCTGTAAGAAATGTCAAACCTACTCGATTAAGGAAAAGTCAAGTGTTCCTCATGCCGCAATGACGCATTGTTAGGAACAGCAAGGAGAAAGCGATTCTGTGCAAGTTTTCTGGCAGGTGGTGCAATATCATCTCATCTCAAACATTTGAGTAGGTTTTTTTGTAGATATATGCAAATTATTTTTCTACTAGATTAACATTTTTGTGAAAAATTAACCAGGAAATTCAATTATGAAGCTATGCTTTGTTTAAGTAAACTGTAAATAACCTTACAAGTTCTGGTCTAACGCAATTTCTAAACAAAGATGTTTTTCATTTTTTAACCTGTTTACACTCATGGATTACTATCTTGCACGTGATTCATCTTTGCATGCATAGTGTAAAACCTTAGAGTTTGTTTTTTAAATTTTTATGATCTACTGATGTAGGAGTGCTGACAAGAAACAAATTGATGACTTTGTAAAGAAACGCATACAGAGACATTTTTAAATTAATAGTAAGTTAGTAATGAGTAAAAGCTTACCCCACAAAAATCAAATCAGCTGCTACATTTTAAAACTCTTCCTATGTATGATAACTAACATGAATTTTCCTGTAAAAATTTTTCATTAATCTTTCAACCTGCTTTTTGAATAATAGAATAAATAAAACCATTAGTGCCTAAAAATTCAAATATGCTACAGATGTTTAAGATAACTGAATAACTACATTAAAATGCACCATGAGAAAATTCTTTATCATTTTCCATGCAGGAAGCCAATTGATATTTTTGTGAGGTACCGGTCTTTCAAAAATACTCATAAGTTAGTTACCTGATATACCTTCTGTACATGGTATATTTAAAAATCTAACTGTACAGTGTTTCAATCATATATAATGCATATAATCTGCTGAATATGGCACAAATGCTAAGTTTCCACACCCACACATCCTCTGCCGTAGAACACATTTTAGGCATAAGACAACACTGAAGAATAGAAAAGTGCCTGAAACTGGAAAAAAAAAAAAAAGACACTCAAGTAGTAATAAATTAAATCTCATTCAAACTGATATAAAAGTTGTTCAAGTGTTTAAAGTATCAGATGTGTCATGCAACAGAACAACAGACGATTCAGGCAGGCACACCATGCATTATAGTTTGCATTCATGGTATCACAAGGTATCTCTCCCCCATTCTGCGTGGCCGGTGAGTGCTGGGTACCTGCGGCACTGCTAGGCTCACGTGTTGAACCACCAAAACCTCTCGGTCTCCTGCACGGGAGGTTTTATGAAGCTGTGCCTCGGAAGGATAACCGGATAACCTCATGCTGTACAGTGGTATCTTGCTGCAGTGTAAAGAGAGGCATACTGAGCTGCATGTAAGCAAAGCAATCATTTCTCGATTATATTTTCCAGTCAGTGCAGTTCACCATAAACCAATCGATTTACCAAAATGTGCTTATCTGAACTGGCCAAGTTTGCACACCAAGAAAACGTCTTCACAGAACATACCACCTTTTCTTTTTTTTTTTGGCACAAATCCTTTTGTACGCTTGCAGCAAGCTCTTCACCATACAAGAATTCAGAGATACTAGCCTGTACAAACACACCGGTGCTTATTCTTCCATAGAGTAAACTACAAAGACAGCTAAGTGCCTGCAACAGCTTTGCTTCTCCAGCAACTTTCCCTTCGCTCTCTAGGGAGAGCACCAGCATAATCACACTTCAGACAAAGGGGTGTTCTTGCCGAGCTCTTTAATTCCCTGGAGAATTCGCTTCATATGACCCACTTTCGTTATCCCCAGGTCCTACAGAAATTAAAAAAAAAAAAAAAAAAAGAAGAAAAGAAAAAAAGAGAAAAAGAAGAAAGTTTATTTAGAGAAAAGGAAAAAAAACCCAACCCATTGATTATGATCTAACCATGCAACAAATGTCTAGAAATGTGCTCGCTGCAATCAACGATAACTGGAAAAGATTCTATGGCACTAGCAAGTGTTGCCTAACAAAAAAATTGCTTAGAGCATACAATGAACGCCTCTCTGTCTTGCAGACAGAAAATTACTTACCTGCAATAACGACAACCCAAGGCGCTGCAATATCTGTCAAAAACATCTTTCACTTGACTTCTAAGTACAAAAACCTTTCACAATTTCTGGCAACAAAAGAACAATCTCCCCCTCCTCTCTAATACAGGAATCAAATGCTTGGTAGGATGTGATGGATTAGAGCTTCTGTCCAGCAATGTCACTTGATCTGAGGCCCTGTGATGTCTGTTTTAATCAACAAACGCACACATCCCCAGTTTCTCAAGGGAAAGTGGATGTAACGGCTACAGACATGTAGGACAACTTCCCTTTAGAGAGCAATAGAAAAGGTAAGCATTTGTTTTTCATTCCAAAAAGCTTACGTCACCTAACATGGATCTTCTCGATTAGAGAGCTGTAAGAAAAATTCTCAGAAACATGACAGTCACGTCCCAAAGGAAAACGTAAAAAGCACAAGCGTAAATCTCCTTGTAGCCACCACTAGAGCAATCACATCAGTTGAAATGTTTCTAATATTAGTTTCCGGGACCCATCTCCGTACAAGTGACAACAGACAAGAAATTTTTGCAGCAAACCTCTTCCAGCATTAATAACAGCTTTAGCAGCATCCTTTTTCAATTTGACTGGTCCAATGGTCAGAGGAGCCGCTGTGCTAATGATGCCCAACTGCACTAATGAATTTTCAGCTCAGTTTGGTGGAAATCTGCTTCCCTTACCTGTAAAATCCAGCTTTGAAAAACTCTTTAAAATCCTTGTGTTAGTGATGTTGAGCAAGTGGCAGATTCAAACACTAGTTATTTGTAGAATAAACCTTATATAAGTAGATTGTGATTAAATACAAAAACCTTAGAAAAGTTTCACTACCTAGTTTTCTGAAATAGAAATCCTTTCGTTTTACTAGGAAGATTTTCCATTACGAAGACATTAAAAGGAAGGGAGTATCATTAAGCAGCTTGAAATAATTACCCTCATACAGAGTGAAAAATGAAACCATATATAATATTCTGTACATACTCTATGCAAAGACTGTATCTACCTTTCTACAGCCACAGAAACCTCAGAAAATCTACACTTTATATTACTTCAAAGTGTTAGCATGCAATTAATTTTCTCCATTTCTCCAAAGGAAGAAAGAGATGGTAAGTTGGGCATGAGTTAATTATTTTATTGTAAATGTAGCACAGCACAGATTAAACAGGTGGATTAATTTTCAGAGAGTCAAGATTGAATTCTGGTTATGTTAGAGATAAAAAAAAAACCCTGGTTGTTTCTTCAGTTGAAAACTGTCAGTACTATAAACACATGACCATCCTTTACAGCACTTTGGCACAAAGGTGTCAGCATGAAAGAGTTCAAGATATGTTCATAAAAGTCCCCAAATCAAGTGCTGTTCATAAAACTATCTGAAGAAAAACTGATTTTCCACATCACATCAATTTATATTTTGTTTCTGCTAATGGTCATCTCACTTATAAAAAAAATGTAGTACTAATTTTTAAGTTAATAGAATTGATGTAGGTAGTAGTTGTTAAACTCGTCCCACAATGACAGTAATATTTATCATTTTAGATTTAGAGAATATTTTCTTTTTTATACTAAACTTAATTTTCCAATGAATCGAAAGTACACACAACTATTGAGACTACTGAAATAGCCTAGTTGTTATGTGGAGGAAATCCTACATAAGGAAAAACCCGTGAGGATATTTTCCAAACCACGAGAAGCCACACTGTTAAAGGTTAAGAACTTGCAAATTCTTCAGAACAAACATTTTTCATGAGTAGAGCTTCTGTTGGATAAGCAACATAGTGAGATGCTGCCAGTCTTCTAAGATCAGAGGAAAGAATCATATTATGAGATTCCCAGAAAACTCAGCTACTTTTTCCACCAACCTTTACAAAGTATCGTTAACAACACCTATGTTTCAGAGGCAAGAGGTTTTGGTTTTCTTTCTGTTCCAGTTGAAGTTGCTGTAATGTAGATCAGAACAGCAAGTCTCAAGAGCCTCATCACAATTTTTGGGACCCTTTTGATAAATTCTGCCATGTTTCCAGGGGAAAAAAAAACCAACCAACAAGATAAACTCTGAATTTTTATGCTTGTGTAATAGTTCGGTTTGGAGGAAATTAAAATTTATACATTCGTGACACTAGATGCTATCTAGTATTCTCAGTTTACTACTGATGGAGGAAAGTTTGCAGAAATTCTCTCATCTCAGACTAAACCAGCAGCATATCATGCATCATACAAAAAGCAAGATCCCCAAAGATGTCTGCATTTTTGTGCATGCATGAGTTTCATCATGATCTATATAATCTGTCCATATCTAATGAACAAAAATTCAAATTGACTAAAATATGGTTTTGAAGACAAGACGCTAGCCAGAGTTTGAGGAAGAAAATGGTCCTTCTTTTTCCCCAGCTATGGCCTTAAAACTACAGGATCACCTCTCCTTCTGCTCTCCCAACCCACTTTGCCATCTCTAGGCCTTCAGCAGGTAGGGCTCAAAAAATTCTCAAAAAGAAAAAGGAAAGTTGGGCAAGAAAAAGCTGATGAAAATTCTTGCAACAGTTTTCAGGAGTTCCTTGTCTGCATTATATTATGGTGATTGCCTGTCTGCTTAGCCAAGAACTCATTTATTCCAGGTTTGCCCCACAGATTTTGGCCAAGCATACCACCAATGTGATACTACCAAACAATTTATATAAACACCCCTTAATATTAACATCTTCCAGATGAGAAACCTACCCTACTTGCATTCCCAGTGTCAAAAGCCATCTAGCATGCCCGAAGTCTGACAGATCTTACAATACATTTTAAATGCAAACATGCTACTGTGAAACACAGAGATGAAATGCCGCAGTCCTCAGCACAGACTTCAGCTTTACTGGCAGTGCTCATCAAGCTGACATGAGGCATGGAAACCCTCTCTCCAAAGAAACCAACATTGCTATGGAGCTCTAAGGAGATGTCACCCTAGTCCTACCAAATGTGTTGCAGTTCTGATTATTACTAAGTTGTGTGCATAGGAACAAGCTTATCAATGCTAAGATGCCAGTATTTATTTCAGAAAAATGAGAGTCTAGTTTTGAATGAGTTTGCTTGTAAAAGAAGGTTAAAAAAAATCACGACAAGCTTTCTTTCTACAGTTTCTACAGCACAGTTCACAATTCACTGCCCAGCCTTTCCTCAAGGGAAAGATAATCACATGGGTGTAAAAGTCTAAGATTCCCCTAAATGAAATCAGGCATAGGAGGCTGGAAAAAGGGTATTACTGCAGGGGCTGGGTGGAGAGAAGTATCTGGTTCCTCTTGGAGGTGTTCTCCATTTGCCAGTTGCCACACACAGAGCTAACCGAGAATGGGATCCACAAGTTATGCAGAAATATAATTAGAGGTGTCCAATTCTTCAGTCAACGTATTGATCTATTTCAGTGATGAATGCAAAGGAAAAGAGTTTCATCAAATCCTTTTCTGTACTGCTTTTCATCTCTACTTTTGACCACAGAAAGAAAGGTGGGCCCAGAAGATTCAATTAAAACAGGCAACGATTTTTCCTGTTGTTGACATGAGAGGTAATAGAGGTAAATCTATTGCACATGACTTAAGAGCTTGTGAATCAATGGCAAGCCCATTTAGCTTGGCTGGAAGCACCAGCCTTGCACTGGAGGAGAGGCTGTAGACAGATTATAGCTCTCAAGAGCGCTGAAGACTCATCTGCACACCTCGATAGCCAAAGGGAGGAAAAATTAACAGGGCAGCTTGTGACGTGTTCCTCATTTCCTAGGTACCACATTACACATCTTGACACCAATTCAGGTCACTGGTCAGAAAACTGCAGGCTCCCTGAGCCATCCTTAATTGGCTCCCTGCAGACATCGTGCCCCATATGTGACAAACAGGATGAACGTTAAACTCTGCTATTTAAATTCAGCATTGCTACATAGAGCGCAAGCCGTGCTTGGCCAAAAGCCTGGCCTACCTTACGAACAGCACTGCCCTGGAAGCTCTCAGCTCTGCTAACGAGCAGATGGGGCAATTCTAGAGCAAGACTTCTGCTAGCACAGAACATACCCTTGGAAATTTGCGTAGAACGAATCCTCGTCCAGCTATGCTGAGCCATTTAAAACCTCATATTTGCTTTCAGGCAGCACTAGATAGAGGGGACAGTAAAAGTCTGTCTTTCTGTAGGCTCTAAGACAAGCTTTTACATATTTCAGAGCATAGGCCTTTGTGATGGGGTTTTATTTATGCTGAATCAGCATGAGTCTTAGCAACAGGGATAACAGGTTGATGATTACCCTGCTGCAGATATTTACTTGGTTGAAGTGCCAGCCTTCTGGGCATGCAGTCAAATTGGTACCTATCAGAAACGAGGCATGGCCAGAAGCCATGTCTAGTTTAACACTGATCTTACCCACCATCATTTATTCCAACAAATTTGACATCTTGATTTTTTTTTAAAGATTTCTTAACATTTTAGCAAACCTATGCATTGTGTGATGCTGAGTTTCCCAGCTAAGTTTTAAATTTGTTCAGTGCCCATTCAGAACAGGGATTTGCAACATCCATCACTGGAACACTGTGGTGGATTGCTTGGACAGTTTTCTATTTCCAAATTTTTGCAGGGAGGGACTGTCCTGAAACTATCCCTCCATGTCAGGAACTATCCTGAAAGAAAGGAATTTAACTTCCATGGAAAGAAGCTTAGGTGATCTAATACCAAAGGGTAAAATAACACACAACAGCCAAATAGATCATCTCAAACACAGCTATCTTTAGCAGCTGCATTCTACTGCAACAGTCATGCAATGTGAGCGCTACCATACAACATCAGGATTTCATACTATGTAAGAAACTTTACAAAAAATGGCACGTTTGTATGAAAGTATTGCCTCTGTCTGGAGCCTACTGCGCTGTGGCTAGAGCAATGACTTGCACTCTAAATGTGAATGTTTGCGATTTATACAATATCCTATTTCTTCTCTTACGTGCTAAAAGCAGTTGCAAAACACATTATCAAGAACTCATTACTACTGAGTTCCCGGAAAAAGTAATCTGACGAATCCCCAAAGATACAGCCTCTACATATAATGGATGCACTTAAGTCGTTCTTGAAAAAGACCAGCAAGCTCAAATAACAGCCTCAGACTGCTAGGTAACATTTCTCCCTGCAAAACTTATCAGTCTGACCTCAGAGGAAGAAAGTTTTACAATTTTGGAGACAAAGGAAGGTGCTCTTTTTTAAATCTATACAGCTGAAATTAGGCAGAGGTTGGTCAGGGATGAGAAAACCTATTGTGAAGGTCTATTTTGACACACAAACACCAATGCTATGTAAGTCCAATGCCGCAATTTATTAAGCTGCTTATCACTCTCACACCCACTATATCCAATATATACACAATAAATCACCTGAAGCAGATCAGCTGCTCGTAGCTGCTGACCTTGCAGTAGATAGATTCAAAATTATTATCACCACCTTGAACTGATTCATACTGATCCTGTTTAATGGAAACGATGAACTCTTGAAGATAACATTGTATTACACTGATGTCAGTAAGATATCAAACGTGCTTTTCCTATGCCTTCTGACATAAACTATAATGCTATCATTCTATATAACGTGCAAAAAAAGGAAATTTCGGATAACACAGATATTCTTGGTTGCAAGTACAAGTCAGCACTTCAGAAAATCAGGCCAAAGGACAGCGTGTATTAGTTTATTGCATATTTGCACAGTGTAAGCCAAGCTACAAGCACATAACAAGTGCAGGGAAAGAAGAAAAGTTGGTTGTTGTTTTGTCAAAGAAAATGGTCAATAGCAGAAAAGTAGCACAAAGGAAATACCTTAAGATCTCGCCTTTCCAGATGTAAAAGCTCAGAGCCTCGGATGTCATGGCTGATGAAGATTTCTTTGTACTCTCCCAAACTGAGCAGATCCAGCCAAGCAGCAACTTCATCTGTGCCCCATTTTTGAACTACCAAAGTTAAGAGCAAAACCCCCTTAATTTCTACATGCTCAAATGCATCACAAGCAAAGGTTAGGCCAAAGAGAGTGGAAAACAGAGTAGAATTGCCGTGCTAGCAAGGGGAAAGGTTAGAGGTGTCATTTCCACAAAAACTGACAATTTCCTTTTTACATGCAGGTTACAGGTTAGCAGTTAACATGAGAAAGTATCTAAACAAAGTTGGGGTTCTTTGCTTTGCAGCCATGCTTTCAGCTTTACTCCACTTTCTTCAGTAAAGCCTTTAAAACCTCATGTCCCAACAAATTCACATTACACCATCTTAGGATCAGTGACGCAAAGTCTGATGTTGTTCTGCTTTATACCATTAATTTATTAGTAGTCATCCAGGGAGAGGAGAAGCCTTCAAAAACTAATTAACATGTAAAATTAAAATATCAACCATACCTCAAATATAGCAATGGCAGCAAGCAAGTCCAGTTTTAATTAACATTTTCTAGTATTCTTAATTAATGCAACAAATATTCTTTAAGCTACTGTGTTACACAGGCCATTAATAAGCTCTCTGTAAAACATTGTTCTCTAAGGTTAGTTGCCCACATTAGTTCTAATAAGACCACATTTATTGAAAAAAAGATAGTTATGCTACTTATTGCTATAATTTTGCAACTTCATTCAATGCTGATTAGTTTTACAATGAAGTGAAATCTGAAGTCTAATCTGAAATCTAAAGTCTGATCAACACCTGCAAGATTTTGACCAACTGTCCATTAAAAAGACAAAGATGTAGAAACAGTTTTAGGACCATCTGATCACTGATTAACTCCTGGACATAATCTTAAGGAAGTAAGTTCATGGATAAGAGTGGGAAGAGAGGAGAGTGGAGTTTGTTCAACTTCTTCTAATTAAAAAATCAGTATTGACTATCATGCTTTTTGTTTGATTTGTCTCACTCGCTGAACTTAAAACCCATCTGAAATTTAAGAATAACTGGTTAATAAAACCAGTGTGATAAAAGCTATTGCGCACCTTCTGAAACTAACCTGAAAAACCTGAATTGGAGCTTCACAGGGAAATGATGTGTTTACCTACAACTTGTACTGCTATGAGTTAATCAAATGTAACCACAGCAAAGACACAGGTCCTTTCACACGATAAAACTACCTAAATATTTTCACAGTAGTTCTTTGGTTCACTTGGAAGTCTTGGGGTCCTACTGAATGCTTTCTAAATGTATTGAAAGAAATCTTCATCCTAATGGAGAAGCCAGTTAGCTCAGTTGCTTTTCACTTTGACTCTACTTTTAGGTAGAGTGCATCATTTCAGCTCTTACCAAAAAAACCCATAAAAATCACACTTTCCCCAAATGCTACTATTTTTCTTGTAATGTCAAAACACATACCAGGCTGAGGGCTGGTCTTATGCTTCTGAACTTTTTCTTTTTTAAACTTTGGCACTATGCGAAACACTGTACTTCTGTTGTTTCTTTTAGCATAATCCAGAGGGGGGTCCTGCATGAAAGAAGAGACATAGTTACCTTTAATTAACAGAAAACAACAGTGAAATTACATGCTTGAGATGGTAATTCATAGTTAACCTCAAAAACTAGCTCAGTTGCTTTTCACTTTGACTCTACTTTTAGGTAGAGTGCATCATTTCAGCTCTTACCAAAAAAACCCATAAAATCACACTTTCCCCAAATGCTACTATTTTTCTTGTAATGTCAAAACACATACCAGGCTGAGGGCTGGTCTTATGCTTCTGAACTTTTTCTTTTTTAAACTTTGGCACTATGCGAAACACTGTACTTCTGTTGTTTCTTTTAGCATAATCCAGAGGGGGGTCCTGCATGAAAGAAGAGACATAGTTACCTTTAATTAACAGAAAACAACAGTGAAATTACATGCTTGAGATGGTAATTCATAGTTAACCTCAAAAACTAAGACCAGATTTTACTTCCATAAAGAATAATTTCAGGATTTAACTCTATACTTGTTTCATTTATTAAATAACCATTCAAAACCTTTAAATTCACAAAAGGGAACAAAACACAAAAAAAAGCAACAAGCTTAGAAGCTTGTTCACAGCAGACAGAAATGATCCACCATCACTACTGAAATTGCCTCTCCAGATCATGAGGGATTCTAACTTACTCTTCCCTATCAAAAGAAATTAGAAACAAGAAGTATTAACCAAACTCACCTCATCATCATTTGGTTGAAAAACGTAATAAAGCCATGGTATCTCAGCAAGTTTTCTCAACTCTATTTCCACACTGTGCAAAGCATCAGACAGCAGCTCTTCATGGGGAGCTTCTAACTGCTGTTTATAAACAGGCCAGAAAAATAGTATTTTTAGTTTTGTTAACATATAGCATTTAGATCTAGATAGGTTGTTACCACACACAAACAGATGACTGCTTCATGGTGAGTGTAAACGAATGGTGAAAACAAATAAACTTACCAAATTAAATTTTCCTTCAGAGATGTGTCAGACCACCCTGACACTACACTTAGTATGGTCCCAACCACAAAGGGATGACTGAGGCAGCTGAGACTTTCGGTGCAGCCCAGCTGGACCTAGCTGTCAGTCACTGTCATCATTCACTGCACTCCTGAGTCTTCACAGAGCAAAAGTTATCTGATAACACCAATACTAGAACACACTAGAAGTGGAAACTACTAGCACAAGGGAGATAAAACCTGACCAGAAGAACAAGAGCCTGGAAAATTTTTGTATGAAAAGTGGTGTAAAAGAATTGAATAGATGGTAGTAAGCCTGAGTTATTATTTGCAAATGTCTTCATATGATAGATCACTCTCTCATGGTCAGGTAAGAGGAAATGGATCTTATCGAAGATGCTCCATTCCCAAAGGTCTTCCAGTGGTGATACAATACCTGCACTACCCCTTCTAAATAGGCAAGACATGGAGCGATAGCCACTGCTGCTGGCTGGGGGTGGGAAGAACGGGGACCAGGCATGGAAGAGGGACACGACTGCAGCCACAGGCGGGAGACAAAAAGCCAAAGACATCAGCAAAGGCCAAAGAGAAAAAGAAAGTGGTAGCAGTGTAAAAAGCTTAGGACTTGCTGACCTACGGGAATTTGGCTCCATCAACACTTTGAGAACCCCATGGAGGTACCAGTTTTCCTTAAAACCCTGGTCTGAAAACTTCTGCAGCTGTTGTGTGAGTCGAACCTGTGAGGAAGAGGTAAGGCAGGCCGCTGATCCCTGGCAAAGCTGTTTTGGGCTTATCAGGGGTTGCTGAAACACCATTTTGAGGTAAAGATTTGAATCCTGGAACGAGTTGCTTGGAATCACTAATAAAGCAATCTGAACAGCTATTTCTCTCTTTGAAGTAAAAGTAGTCCCAAAGCAGTGCCGAATATCCTTTTGAAAGGATCTAATTAAGTTGTATCCTAGTGAATGCATTTTTAAAATGGAGTTGTAAGAAAATCTTTGATCTCTAGTGCTGGAAAAAGATTTTGATGTTGTTGGAGTTTGGTGATAAATTACAAGCCCCCTTTAATTTATCCTACCTAACAAAAACTTCTTTCCTTTGCTTTAATAGTTTGCACATCATCACCTTTGAAAGGAGAGACATCTTTAGTAAGATATTGCTGTTTAGCATAGTAATACTGTAAATATAAGCTCCCTCTTGCTATCGTGTTCTTTTCTCTTCTAAAGCTCACAGAATTCAGTGCCAATAAGCAGACTCTGAGCTTTATTTGCCTTCCCTTTTTTTTCAGTTTGAACAGTTCAATTAATTTGGAGCACAGTGGAAGACCCACCTGTCTTTGAAGAAGTTAGAACTTTTCTCTCGTTTTCATTTTTTAAAATTATTTAACTATTTTATATAAATGAACGAAGAAAAGAGTTATCTCTTTCTCAACAAGCACTTATCTAATTGCTTGATTCTCAAAGGAAAACATTTTGCTTGGGGACAAAAAAACCTCTCATCTGATGGTGAGAAAGTGTATGCATTGGCAATATTGCTCCTGAAATAAACCCGAAACAATAGTGAAATTCTGGTAAAGGAAGAGTCAGCAATTTAGGGTAAATTCTCCTCCTACAACATCTTGGAGAAGCTTCTTATTTCCAAGATGGAAATTAACACTATGAATGAAACAATGAAAATAAAGGATTTTTTCAATTCCTTCCCAAAGGAAATTTTTAATATGAAAATATTTGATTTCAGTGGGCTCAGATAATTTCATTCAGTTGAAATGAAGCATTCTGTCATAATTCTCCCTTAATACGTTGGAAAACTGTAGTATATGCAACAAAGCCATCAATTTACTGCTATCAGGAGCTTTGATCACAAAAGAGAGGTGTGAGGGAGAATTGAAGAGGAAAAAAAAAAAGAGGAGGAAGATAGAAAGAAGGTCCATCTTTGTCAGAGAAAGATAATTTGGAGGACAGTGTATGATGGCAGCGGCTGATGCATCAAGCAACACCTTACATTTCATCTGTCTCTATTTTAATAGAGTGAGGGGCCAACATACATGTAGCTTCAGCATTTATAAAATACATGACAATAAGGTTAACCAGGGTGCCTTGTTATTGTGAGTGTGAAATACTGTTCTAAACAAGCATAATGTCAAATGAATGTAATGGACACCTCTGGAAGATTATCTCGGCATCTTTCAAACAGCCTTTTTATTAAAAAATGAGTTTGATGTAGACTCATTAAGACATTTGCACAGACCATAATGAGAAGCAGAAGCACAACATGTAAAAATCAGAAATGGACAAATGAATCAAATTAAGCTTTGGAGCCTAAACAAAGGACCCGTTCGACAACACAATGAGATCACAACTGGCTATAGAAAAGGTAATGTTTCAATGGGAAGGTTTCCATAATAACATTATTTCCAGACTGCCTTGATAAATTACACTAGTCCTAGTATGGCATCACCAACTTAAATCTTTTCTTCTAATTCCTCTTCCTAAACTATTTTAAAATTTAAACAAATTTCTCTGTTTTGATTCCCCATTCAATCTGAAATATGGGGGATTAGTAATAGCGATTTGAAAAAAAAACCAGCAGATATTTTTCCCTTTTCTTGGACAAAAACATCTAATGAACAACTTTCCCTTCTAAAAACTCGTAAAATAGATCATATGAGCCTAATCTTTGACTATTTCTAGAACTTATATGGTTATTAGCCTTTAGACCGTATTAACTTTTGGTTACTGTAGAATAGACCCGTACCATTTATCACTTGTGTAAAAAGGTATCTGAACCTGCACCAGTAAGTTTCATATGATAACTCAGCTAAATGAAAACATTCCTATTTATATCCATTTTTAATTATAACACTTAAATAAACAGTAAGTTAGTAATAAATCTGCTTTTGAATCCAAAGAAAATGTAACTGTTCCTACTGAGTATCTTCTTAATATAAAAGTGGACCAGCAGAGAAAACCTGACATCTTTCTTCTCTTCACAGTGTCACATGTAGAAATTTTCTAATTATACATCAAGGTACAACAATTCTTGAGCAGTCTTCATCATTTTAGGCACAGAAACACTAGCCAAAGAAAAAGATGCAAAGTCTTCAGTACCATCAGAGGTCTACTGAACACTTACCAGTTAAAGGTTATAAAATAATTCCTGACAGGTGTTAGAACAAGGGTGAGATTTACTTGCCCAGATTAGATCTGTAGAAGTTGAATGTATGAGTCTGAACAGCTCTCACCCCAGGTTCTCTTTAAACTCTGAAGATGGACACATAATAGAACTCCGAAAGTTCTCTTAAATGCTAAACCTCCAGAAGATGATTTATCTTTTTCTAAGATAGGCCTCTAAGACAGTTGAGTGTGAATCAGCCTCAGCAGGGATACTTATTTCTCTTCATTGACTACTAAAAAGAAGAGCCCAGGCAATGACCTTTTAGATATCTGAAGTGAGGTAAAATGGATGCCAACCTAGGACAAGAATTCATAACTCATTGTGATCCAAACCACAAATGCAGTGTAATATCCTCCAATTGGCCTTACAAAGCTTCTTGTAGCAGGTCATAAATCCTGTGTCAATTTAAAAAATCAGCAAAGAACAAATCACAGATAATCTGAATGAGGGAATAAAACTATGTATTTTGTCACCTTACCAAAGGAACTCTTCCTACTAGCAGAGATTCAGTTTCATTATGCAGGGCCTTCACATTGACAGCTATCTCCATGGCAGTGTTTCTGGTAAGGCTCTGGGGAATAAGAAGCATAAAAATTATTTGAAGTGATGCAAGTCAAACTGCAAATAAGTACTTTGGGCTTACAGCAGAGATCTTAAGCATCTTCTCCTAGGAGAAATACATCAATTTAGCTCTACACTGACAACTTCTTCAGCACTGAGAATAGAAAACAAAAATGTAGTATCTATTTACTGTCTTTTCCCCAACTTCATTTAATATGACCTTATACAATCCTGAAGATCATCAAGTGACCAGCCACCTGTGATATGAATCTACGATTTCTATGGATGACAAAGGCCAGCAGAAAAGTTGTGGGCCTCATTTAGTAACAACTGTTGATCCGAATTGTTCACCTTATCCTTAGAAGAAGTAAGCTGCTAGCTGTATTTTAAGAAGCAAAGGTTAACTAATGTATTTACCATATGTAAATTTAGGTTAGATATAGGCAGCCTCTACCTAATTAATCTTTTTGGGGTCCAATCCTTGAAAACACCCAGATTGTCTAAGTGTGAAGAGAGAAACCAGGAAACTCATTTCCCCTCACCCCCTTTGCATTCTCTGCATAGCACTTGGATAACAATTAAGCATGAAAATGCCTATGAATGCATCCACAGGAATTGACCTGTACGTAGTAACAGCATTTGTTCAGCCTTTGTCATGCCTCCACTCTGTGTCTGGGGACATGCCTACACAGTTGTCTGCAAGCAGATGTGAGCTTACTTGGCCTATTGTTTTTGTTGTTTGCTGACATGAGTTTGATTTATTCATGCTCAGAGCTACATTAGTACACCGCCTCACTTGATTTAATAAGCACTGCTGCATCACTTCAGGATGAGCACCCCTGGCTGTGGACCTCCGTTGCAGATGGAGCGAATTCTTGGCTGCTTCCGAAAGGCAACAGACATACCCTTACCGTGCCCCTAATCCAAACTCCCTATCTCCCTTTTGACTGCTCATTCCCCCCTGCAACACCACCCAGAAGGTCTGCATTTTAAGTGTCATTAATGTCCCTTTCTAATGTCCCACATTCACAAAAGAGAGTACCAGGTGGGGAGTTTCTGCACTGATAAATGCAGAAACTGCATCTTCTGCCTTGTCAGATATCATATTGATCTAACATCAGGAGGGGACTCTTCTCTTTAATACTCTTCTGTGAGAAGGCAGTTCTCCTAACTCCCATTCCTGGTATTACTAATAAATTCCAGAAGCATTGAGCATGATCTCTACCGAATTCATCAGCTGTGGGGTATTTCCCTATGCACATGAAGGATTGAGACTCCCTGCTGCTATACAGAGCAGCACCTTCAGAATCTGAAGTAACTTTCCCTTTACTTTCACCTTAGAAAAAGTGGCAAAAAAGGGGAGAAGATACAGCATCCATTCATCTGTTAAGCAATTTCATTTAAATCTGAGCATGTGTATGTATATTTAGAAGTCTTGTTTATCAAAAACTTCAAGAATTATCATCCAACTTGTTTTAATATGGGGACAAGGAGTACAATACAGCTCCCGTATCAGAAGCTTAAGCATACAGATATTATAGCTTATTTACTTATACATAAATCTCTGTTCTTCCTTTACCTCAGGAAACCTTGGGTTGGCTTTATTTAATGCATGTGAACATGCATTAACGGCATGAGCAAGCTCCTGCTCCAAGAGGCCATGTATTTTTGCTGCTTCACAGATTCTACAAAAATATAAAGAGAGAGAAAAATATTTCTAACCTCCTTTAAAGACTAATTCTTCCGAGTACACAACATTATCAGATGAGAAAATATATAAAGATATGTTTCACAAAACACTTTTAAAAAAATATAGTCCTTTATAACAGAAGTTGAAATACAAGTATCTCTTCAAGCAATACAGCACCTCATATAAATGATATCCATAACACAGAAGATTTATTCTGCTATGAAATACCGAGACACATTTATTTGTCTTAGAACACAAATGGTATGCAAAAATTGTACCAAAAAATGTTGGGGCTGTTAATTCAAATAAACTATAGAGGAAAACCCTAGCACATTAAGATAACTTACTTGAAGTTATCTTAAAAACCATTACACCTATTTCACAAGCCATATCCTTCAGACGTGACATTAAAATTGGCTGCAGTCATTTGAGATTATGGGAGGTCTAGCTGTAATTACAACCTCAGGACCATCTCTAGAACAGTAAAGTTTTTAAGCTGTCTTGGCTAAACTTCACTTTGGATAATTTATAACCTAAATTATTCTTCTATGTCTACTTAAGTCACGAGTACAGTATAAAAAGAATATGTCGTTCTTCAGTTCCTTTCTTATGTTATCAGTGCAACTCAACAGGTACTCCAAGAATTGATTTTGATGCTTAAGATAATTTGTTATCATGATGAACTGAGTAGCAGCTTTATAAAATGTTCTGATTTTTAAAAAATGCTTTTCTTAAAAAAATCTAGGCTTTTTTTTCTATGAAAATTGAAGTGCCTTTTTTATTAAACTACTTGCATCTCAGGAAGTAAGTAGTTCTTGAAAATAAGCAAGGCTGTGAGATCAATTTTATACCATCAGCCCACTATCATCTCAGTTCAAGTAAATTACTGAAGTGTCCAGGGGCACAGAGATGAGGATTTTGAGCATTAGGAATGAAATAGAAAGCTGCAATAACAATGAATGAGTGGGTGAATGCAAAAAGGTATGAAGATTTTATCCGGCAATTTGGGCTCCTTGAATGTTGCTGTGTTAACTGTTTACTTGTACAATATTTTAAGAAAACTTTCCATTCTATTGAAAAGTGCTCATCTTTTTGAAATTGTGAGTAGCAAGGCTTTAAAGAGAAATAAGGTCAGGAGAAGTTAAGGTCAGGTGGATACATCCGCACTGCTGACTTCTGAAGTTGACTTCTAAGGGTTTTTTTTCAATAAAAATATGCTCTTGCATAAAATGAGAATTTTTAATCAAAAGCCTCTCTGCAAAGAAGCTTTCCAGTTTTCCATTTCCACTGCTCCTTCAGAAAGTCGGTTTTCACAAGAAAAAAAATACATAAACACACAAAAATAAAATTACAGAAATACATACGAAAAGCACAAATAAACAAGTTGAGCCTTAAAAATGAAGTTTAAAAAAAAATAAATAAAATAACTGATAGAGTGGCAACTAAACATTAATCAAAAAACAGAGAAAATATACACCTTCTAAGTCTATGTATGCATTTGCATGAATAATTCAGTCTTGGTGTCTAGGTTGCCAATCCAAACTTATTAATTTTGCTGTACCTGGTAATAAGTTCTTCTGCAGCTTGTGAACACAGCTGGATCTGTGCAACTTCTTCTTCTGTAGCCAACTCAACCGCCTGCTGAGGGTACAAGGGAGATCGAATGACAGGCTTACAGGAATCATACTTCTGTTTGTCTTCCCAAGACTTCAGGGTGTTTTCAAAGGCCTAATCAAAATGAATTATACATTCAGTTCACAGCACTTGGAGTATTCTTATTTATTTTAAAATTTAATTTTATATACATTTTAATTTCTATAATATTTTCATTAAAATTAATTTAACAAATAACTTAAATTTAATTTTAATTTTATATAAATAATACAAGCTCTATAAATAATGACATTAAATTTAATTTTTTTAAAACATAGTGTAGATAAGAAGTCTCTTCTGAAAGCTCGCTTTCTCTCTCTCCCTCCTTTATCCTCAATAAGCATCTTTCAAAACAGTAAGAACATGAAGACAGTGATAATACAAGCATGGATAGTAAGATCCAAATCTGAAAGTAATACAAGATTCAAACCTAAAAAATGGTGGAAAAAAGTAACAAATTTACTAAGATGTAGTTCAAATGCCATTAACTGCACCCTAAATTCACCATCCAGTTAGTGGACGGAGAACTGAGGGGCAGCTACGCCTTTCACACAGTAATCCTAGACAAGCGTGAACTCTCCAGTGGCTTTGTGACTAGGTTCTGCACGTGCCTCTTCTGTCTGAGACTGGGTGGTGGGGGAGAGGGAGGATTAGTAGAACAGAGAGAGACAGGAGAGAAATCTGCAGAAAGTTATTCTGAAAAATGGACTTTATAGAACTTTGGTATTTATGCAACTGTGCCAGAACTTCCAGTATGTGATTGCGTATTATTTACCTAGAGAAGAAGGAGGAGGAGGAGGAGGAGGAGAAGAAGAAGAAGGAGAAGACGACGACGACGACGCAGGAGGAGGAGGAGGAGGAGGGATAGGAAAGAAAAGAAAGAAAGAAACAAAAATATATAAAATTTTGACCATTCTTCTTCTTACTATATATTAATAAGAATACAGGAATAGCACTAATAACACTGATAAAAGCTAACAAAGAGCGGTGTCGCTTACACAAAAGAACAATTCTCTATCTATCTGGCTTATTATAGAAAATATGCAAATCTAAGTAATCATGTAAGTTATATAGATAGTTATAAAACATTTTTATAGGCACTGTTTTGTTCATGTTATAACTGAATCAAATTGTTACAGAAACAATGTTAGTAACAGTATCTCATAACATACTCTGTCTCGTGTTAACATCTGAGCTCTGTTTTTATGTATGATCTTAATCACTCCCGGGGGCTGGATCCATGCCTCTCCATCGACTTGCACTGGAACCCCTTCATCACCAAGTATGGTGATCTTTACTGACCGACACTGGAAAAGAACAAACACGTTATTTTACAGAGCAATAAATACTAATGAAACTGACGGGCCACCTGAAACATGTTGATGACTAGGAGCTGCGGCTTCCCTCCAGGTTTGTCTCAAGGATGAAGCACTTCTACACTTCATTCATCATTGAACACAATTTGTTACTCGTTAAAATTAAAACAATGTCAGCACTTTATTAATGTATAGGGTGGTGGTCATCAAGAGTATCGCTACTTGCCATCATCCCAAACTGCTGCCAACCATGTTGCGTGCTTTCAAGTAAGAAACAAACCTGAGCTATCCTGTGGTGCTGCAGTTTGATGACTCTTGAAACTGCCATCTGCATGCTGCCAAATACCGCAACAACTTCTAAGATTTTATCATCAAATGATGGAGCCCCAAATATCTGAAAGGAAAAGAAAATATTCCATTTTTGATGGTAAATCTAGTGCTTAGATTGCATGTTTAATGCAACAGATTAATTTATGGATTTGTTTTCAACATTTAAATGCTCTAACTTGTTTACTGTAGAATAACTACAGAATAACTACACTGTCTCTCAAAAGTCATAGGAGTGAGATACCGTAGACAGTAGGCAAATATTATTTTAAAACAGCAATGCTAGTAGCATTTCAAACATCTGAATGACAAGGCATATCCTTATATAGGAAAGATGGCATGTTTCAGCGTGCCGACTAAGAAATGTTTTTCAAGGCAAGATGAAAGGCCAATTCAAATCTCCACTTGGTTAATGTACTCAGTATCTAAGAGGTTCTTGAAGCTAAGAGGAATAATGGTGGTTTTCTTCTCAGAAGTGCATATCTTTTTATATTCTGAATTCTCTGGAAACCAACATCCGAGTCCGTGCTTGGCTTTGTTCAACACAGTTTTCATACTGAAGAGGATCTCGCATGCGCTGTATACAATTATCCGCTGTAAATATGAAAACCGCTTCTGTATGGAACAAACGTCCTGATATCCAGCCAAGACATTGAATTTCCATGAGCTTACACAAAGCACATGAAGTCTCGTGTGTGCCATTGCCACCTGGTGTCCTGCAGGGAGATTCAGCCATGCCACACAGCAAGGCTCAGGCTGGAGTTCAGCTGGGTCTGGCAGGAGATACCATACTAAGGTCACTTTGAAGCTTGACCATTTCATCCTGATATGCAATAGGGAGCAATGAGGGAGAAAAAACAGCAGGAGAAATCACTCCAGTAAGAGTTTAATGGGTAGAGTACCACCCGTGGTACTCAGACTACCTCATTTGGCACCGTGGCAGAGTAAGCTACATCAGAGGCACCTGAGAGAGGATTTCCTGGAGGTGAAGAATAAGAGGGTGCAGGACCACATAATCCAGATAGTGTCTGCAGCAATGGCTCAGGGAGGGAGAGAATGGGGAACAGGGTGATGGACTTTGGTCCCCACTGCCCACCAAGCCAGCAGGAGCCTTCACCCCAGTGCAGTGAGTGGTGGCTTTGGCCAGGAGGCTGAGGAGGGCTTCTCAGGGAAAGGGCCGTACAGCACAGTTGCCACAGTTTAGTGCCACATCCAGGTGGCACTTCCCTTCAGAGCATCGCAGCATTGCACAGATATGTCTTGAGCAGATGAGTGTCAAAGAACAAAAGTGCAATTTTACTGGGTCTAGACTGTTTTGAAGCAAAAGGCTTCTCCATTTTTCCAATTTCTATGGAAATTTTTCCGTTTTTCACATGGGGATGTGAATGTCTTGAAAAGAGCAAAGTCAGTGATTTTGTTATTCCAAGGTAAAAAGTATGGAGAGTCTGTGATCCAGCTTTAACAAGTATAACTGACATCTACAGGGCCAGTTCTGCATGGGTTAAGAAAAAGTAGTTGTAAAATTTCATTTATTTTGTGCTTCGATTTTAGCAAAAGGATGGGCAAACCACAACCCAGTCTGCTGTGTCTCTCCACCAGTAAAACATTATCTGTACTGAAAACCAACCATACTTTTTTTTTTTTTTAATAAAGGCAAACAAATCTCTACGGATCAACATTCAAGAAACAATTCCCTCCTTCCCTGTTGCAGGTCACGTTTCCAGCCTGTCTTCTGGACACCAAAAAAGCATGCCTAAACAAGCCCCGCTCAAGTCAGTCGGCGTGCGGCTGCCCTGCTTGTCTCACTGATAATGTTTCAGGAATATTTGCAGCTGTCAAGGCAACACCTTTTTTGTGTCCAGGGAAGCAGAACCAGGAGCACTTCAGACCACCACCACCACCTCTGACGATCAGTCACTCAAGACTGCACTAAAGCAGTGAATTACGCTCCTAACTCTGTCCACAACAAACATGTCACTTTGCTGGCCCATCTGATCACCAGAAGACTAAGAATATCAGTAAAACTGCTCTGAGACACACACACACATTTGCTGCATACCGGTATGACAGCTAGGACAGATCTTCTCTCCCAGTGAGGCAGTCCAGGGAGAAAAATAAACTCCTGAACAGGAGCTGAGCAGACACTAGAGATGCTTTCAAGTGATGAATATGAACATGGAGTATATAAAAACTTTAGATATCCATAGCCAAATATAAACAGAACTGCCATCCTCTGACATATACCAAAAATAAGAACAGGACATTGAAACATGTTTAAATATTTTTTGTGACTTTTATATATGTGTGTGTGTGTGTATGTATATAAGCAAAGGATAATAACTCACAAGAAACCAAAAGCATTTTGGAAAAAAAAGTCCTGGATTGTCTACATTAAAATCACAAGCTAATTTGCAACTACAGTTTTAGGTGATTCAGACCTCACACACACTAAATCAGGACATGCAGAATTAGCATAATCTGCTAGTAATTACAATTGTTGCACTGTGCGTGAAGTGCATGGCAGCAGTAAGACTGCTCCAAGTTGTAGGACATTTAGGTATCTGAGTAGTGTAACGTTTCTTAGGAGATGTGAGGAAGAAGAGAAAAAAGATATCTTAAAATATTTTAGAAGCTCATTGAAAATAGTATTTAAAAAACAAATTACTACCCCCACTATATTATCAGTCACTAACTGCATCAGTCCTCATTTTCTGAATCACCATCCCTTAGTCCAAAGCTGTTTGAAGAACAGGAGGAAAATTCAGGTATAAACCGTGGGTGATTATCCTTGTCTACCTTATTTATTGTTAGAATATAGCAAACAGAGGAATCTATGCTTTGAGAAACCTTATTTACAGGAGTTTGTAAAACAATATAGAGAGAAACTATTTGTGTGTCTGTTCATAAAATTAGTTTCTAAAAATACTATCTCACAGAGCCATTGTTTAAAAAAATAATTAAGCCTTATTATGAACATTTTGCTGGAATGGACACGACAGAAGGCAATAGACAGTGAAAAATCACGGGATATATTTTCAATTAAAAAATCAAATACAAGACAACACAGTTTAAACTCAAACAGCCTCCCTGAATAAGAGCTGCTATCCAAACCATACTCTACTACTATTAAAATTAAATGAGAAGAGCAGCTCATGGTATTTATTGCTGGTTTTGCCCAGGAGGTTACTTCTCTTTAATGTTACTCACATCATCTTCTTTGGTTCCACCCCAGAAATTAGTCCCACCAGCATAGCTGGGAATGTTTAGCACAGCTATGCCCTGCAGACTTGGAAGGGGGATGTACTGTCCGTCACACTGTAATGGATAAAAGCTCATTCAGTATATAAATAATGTGATAAAAGTAATCAGCCATTTTTAATACATGATGATTCAACAGAGCTGGCAGAGGAGGATGGAGTCATTAATAAGTTGACACAAGCCTATTCTATCCGTGCTGTGAAGCAGCTCTAATAGAAACCTCTTCTGCCCAATCTTACCACCAATTTTTGCGGAGCTGAAAAAACACTAGTATCTACGGCAGAGGTGTTCCATGACTCTTCAAAGACACATTTTCACAATTTCACATTAATTAAGTCTATTAAGCAGGGAAAAAAAAAATTCAAAAAAATCCAAGAATATTGCTGGCATAGCCACAAACATGAAGTTAAACGTAAGTGTTGTTAGCACTTGCATACTTGCTTTCCTGTAAAAATAACTCGCTCTCCTCCTAAAAGTGCAAAGGCAAATCTAGGAATGACCCCACACTTCTTACCCTGGCCATGGCTAGGTGTTGTTGATTTTGCAGGTAAGAGATCGCTCCTGTGACTGACCATTTATTCCCTCTTTCTTACCTCTTTATCCTCCAAAACCCATAAGCAACTCCAAGTCCTACTCAACAAGATCATGGGATGACGTAGGTCAATCTCACCTTACTTACAGCCAAGAGTAAATTTACAGACTTCAGTGAAATCACTCTTGACTTACAGCAGTACAACTGCCTGCAGAGGTGAGCCCAATGATCTCAAACCATTCAACTGGGAGTCAAAAGTGCAGTCCTGCAGCAGTGCCACAAGCGTGGATTTCAAGCAAGTTGATCATAAATGCTGGATTCAGGTGTCGCTTTGGGGATCGTGAATTTGCAGGTAAAGCTGCCTTTAAAGAAGACTGCTAGATTACTGCAAGTTACCAGTCCCACAGAAGGATCTTAAAATTATACAAATGAAATAGAAATCCTCAGGAAAAAAGGACAAAATCTGTAGCAATTCTATCAGGAGGAGAAAGAGATGCAAAATTATTTCCAGAATGTGCTTAGTGCTCTCTTTTTATGATTTAATCTCAGCGACAAGACAGAATTTAACATTTTAATCAAAATGTGACAGCATCCAAAATATGCTGTGATATTAATAGATACTGCACAGCCATTTGTATTATAGTAGAGGTCTGCCTCCAATTCCTGAAATTGATATTTTTAATTTTCCAATGCCATGCACCTCATCACATGTTTTAGCATAAGGCTAATATTATGCAAAGCAATACTAAATATGAAATTTCTACTTGCTGGTTTATTTCCAGAAATATTCAAAAATAATTATGGAAAGGTCAGGTTGGAATGCCTTATTGAATCTTATTTGAATCTTACTCAAAAGGACCTTAAATTAGAATTCTATCTGCAGCATACATAATGTTCTTTCCTGTCATTATATTCACTAACTACTGCATAATTCCTTGATAATTACTCAATCTTTAGATAACAGCAATCTGCTGCTACCAGAAAAAATCTTCCTTTATCTCAGAGGAGTGATAAAGAGTTCCAGTAACTTAAAATTATTCTTTCAACTTAACAAGTTATCTTCATATAAATATCATGAACTTCCATATGAAATGGTTAGCATGAAGTAAAAAGAGAAATTATGTATGTTCTTGGTCAAAATCCAGCCTAGATATTCTTTGGATGAAAACAACTGTAACCATCCCACAGTCCTTTTTTGCATTTGGTAATCATTTATATCTCCTCTAAGCTCCCAGTATTGTGAAGAAGACTTAGATTTTATGTTGGAACTTAAAAGACAAAAAATAACTATCTTTCGATAACATACACTTAATTTCTTGTTGCTGTGATAATACCTTGCTTCTTTTGTGTGACTGTCTCAAACACCTATTAGAGAATGTCTCTATAGGTGTAGCTGGGCTTCTTGGGATGCACATTCAGAATCTCTCCTCTTATGTCAGGAATTTTTGACTAAGATCATCTGTGTGCTCTTCCCATATGTGTAAACAAGCTTTCAGATAGTTTAAAATGAACCCGAAGGATTAAGACTCCTTATCTCTTTCCTTCTGTTTAGTGTATGATCATTTCTGTTATTCTACTTAAAACCTGGTCTCCCCCTTTAATGCAGTAAACATTAAGAAACATATCCTATCTATACAAGAAGATTTCTGAAAAAACCCACAGTAATTACAAGAAACACTATACTGGGTATTCTGGGATATTTAACTACTGACATTTTACTCCAAAAAAACACCTGGGGAACCACCTCTTACATAGCACATTTTTACACAGTGCCTTTGAGGTCAGCTTGGGTTGACATAAGAACTCTAAAAGGTTTCAAGAGGAAGCCCAAATTCTTCACTACACATTGCGGAAGCAAAAATACTCATTCTGCCCATAAATAAAATTTACCTCAAGTTGAACTTTTTGTTCTAAGTTCTTGTAAGTTCTCTGCAGTAGCTCTTTTGTGCCAAGAACTCCATACCACATCATGTTTTTCGTCCGACTTCTGAAAACAGGTAAAACAAGATTCTGTGATTCTATGATTAAGATTCACATATTGATAAAAACACATTATTATGTCTTGTATTTGTAGGATGAGAAAAAGTTAAGAAATTCAAATAAAGAGATAAGGAAAAGAAAATAATGGAAATGTCTTGGCTCTGTTACTGACAATTATATTACCTGCACTTTTCAGGGTGCTCTTCTCGCTTGTTATTAAATTCTAGTGAAATTTTTGCATCTAACCCAATTCCAAAGTAGTTGTTCATGACACATTTTTCTGAATATCCCTCCCTGTTAGAAGAAAAGATATAATTAGGTGTACATTTGTATAGTACCTGGACACACAGAGCTTTGACCAAGATTGTGGTTGGTCTCAGAACAGATACATCAACCAAAAGACATCAAGAGATGTTTCCTCTCAATCTCCCTGAGGAAACCCAACAGCAGTCGAAGAGACAGATTGGCTGCTAGCTCCTTTGCAAGTGCAGGTTACTTCCCATAGGACAAAGAAGAAACTGTAACACCTCCCCATCCTAGCACTAGCTCCACCATACCCAAAATGAACAGTGGAAAATGAGGTAAGAGCTGCCCCAGCCACGGCTCTGAGACAGCAGCACCACACCGGGCCAAGCACCCAGGCTGTGTTTAGGCATGCTGGTGCTAGATGTTTGACTGATGCTGCTGGCACAGCAGTGCTTTGTTTTAGGGGAGCTGCGGCCCACAACCCAGACACTATCCATAGGTCTCTGCCAGTGCCACACCAAGTTCTGGGAAGCAGAGACAGCTTAGGACACAAAATTTCCATCTCACTGCTCCAGTCCTTAGGGGGGACACTCTTCTTCCTCCACTACTAAGTGCCCAGACCTGCTTCAACATCTCGTTGGTGGCTGAGCTTGTGTTCAGACCAGCGGTTCGGGCAGGAAAACCCAGCTCTGAAGGACTGCTGGCCTCCTCCTCTCCGAGCCAGTGGGCAAGGGGTAAGTGAGCAAACATCTCCTATTATTTCTGCTGCTGCAAGACAATTCTGCACTACTCATAACTAAAATGGCACAATCCAACCTGTTTTCAGATCTTGAAATGGTCTGAATTCCATTTCAGACCTACTGCCAAATGACAGCAAAACAGAATTTCATGATGAAAAAAAAGATTACAAAAAAGTAAAAAAAAGCTTAAGAAAAGCAAACTAAAGCAAAACAGTAAATTCGGAAAAAAAGAATTTCTTACAGTGAATCTGGATCTGGGTCAATAAACGGCGTAGCACCAAACGGATCGATGTTTGCTAGCAACATTTTGCTAATAATTGAACTTCCTGCAATAGAAGCAGCTAGACCAGCCCTCAAACCTGATTAAAAAAAACAGAAAAAAATAACAAAAAAACAATTTGTATTTGATAAACAGAGAAACATGTATTGTCATAATATAAGCCACATATTGAGAGACAAAATATTCATTAAATCCATATAGGGAATGATTGTGTTTCTATCTCAGTTTTTACCTATATTGGTTATCTTTTCAGGTCTCTGGCTCTCTTGAGCAGAAAGGCAGCTATGCTGCGGTGCAGTGGCTGACTCTTCAGGTACCACCATTGAGAAAGAAAAAAACAAAGAAAATTCAGGATTTCAGGCCAACACTCACTGGCTGGCGTAGTAACCAAATGGGTGACCTAATGTCCAAAAAGACTACTAGAGCTTTTTATTTAGTTTAATCTTCACCTCCAAACTGACCATGATTTTCCTTTGGTCCTTTCCTTTGGAAATATTCCTAAGAAATACCCTCACCTTTTTTACAACTGCAAGACTCATAGTTTAACTTAATTTGTGGAAAGGTCACAGCCTTGCCATGCCTACCTTGACTAATATCAAAGTCACTCTGCAAAACACTGTGTAATGCATGTAAACAAAGAAAAGTTATTTCGAAAAGCATTCACTTAAATTGACCTAAAGAAAAATGTAAGCTCAGTTCCATTATGTTTTAAGTATACTAATGAAGTTAATTAAAGTAGTGTTTTACTGATGTCCCCTAGAATTAATTGCATTTGCATAAGAACAGATTTTTTTCAACTGTTTTTACTGCACAGAAGCTTTGTGTAGTTTCAGTTACCCATTTCCTGAGCGGTATCTACAGACACCTCTTATTCAGAGGGTTGAACTTTACACGTCTCTGTCCCTCGGCCCCTTCATAGCATCCTGATTAGGATGAACGATAGAAGGACTTGGGGGTACTGGTGGATGAAAAATTGGACATGAGCCAGCAGTGTGCGCTCGCAGCCCAGAAGGCCAATCGTATCCTGGGCTGCATCAAAAGAAGTGTGGCCAGCAGGTCGAGGGAGGGGATTCTGCCCCTCTACTCCACTCTGGTGAGACCCCACCTGGAGTACTGCATCCAGCTCTGGGGTCCCCAGCACAAGAAAGACACGGACCTGTTGGA